TCCTGGGTGCTGCCCTGACCTGCAGGAGCACACAGCACCTGGGCACCATTTCTGTTCAGAACTGGGGCTGATATAAATCCTTGGCACTATCAGAGAGCACAAAGAACAAGTCCTGCAGGCAGAAGATGCCCGGGGAGTCTGCTCAGGAGCTGAGCCCACAGGAGCTGCCATGGCTGATGCAATTCTAACCCTGTCCTACAATGTTTGTTTAACCTACTTAATCCCTCTACAAAGCCTGAAGAATTTTCTGTCATTCCAAGGGTATCTCCAGGGTTCAGAGTTAGGGTGAAGTCTTGCCAGGATTCTGGAGCTTATCAGGGAGAAGACTCCAGATTATTTCACACTGTCCTGCTGCTTTATCTGCAGCTCAGTTCTGCCACCCCCATGTCAGGACCCAGGACATCCCTCTGGCTGTCCTGAGCAGCCAAGACCCCTGGCACAGCGCCCAAAAATGCCCCTGTGGGTTTGATTATGACCCCTGGAGCAAGTTACCAGCCTTATATGAAGATCTGCAAGCCATGACAAATTAAGTAGAATGATAGTGAATTTATCAGAAAGTAAAAAAGTAGATTTGGGGGTTTTTAGAATGGGGATTCAGGAGGGCAAGATGGAAGGATCTGGGCATGTCCAGCCTTTCTCCTTCTTCTTCTTGGCCTCCATTTTCTGCTGTGATTTTGGCACTTTTAAATTGGTTTAGAGTAGAAGCTCACTGTCTAACATAGGTGATGGGTATTGGAAAGTAATTGTAAACATAGTACATGTAGTTTTTAGTATAAAGACATAACACTGCCCTGGGGGCAGGCAGAGTGCCTGGAACTGTCCTGCTGAGTGGACCTCAGCAGGACAGGAGAAGGAATTTTATAGATAAGATGCAATAAACAACTTTGAGGCCAAGAAATTAAGAGCTCTGACTCTTTCTTCAAACTGGGAAAAGACTTTCCAACCTTTCTCGGGGTCACTCTGAGCAGCTGAGACCCCAACACCCCCACCTTGAGATGCCCCAGGCAGCAGCTTCTCCTTGTGAGCTCCTGAGCAAGGAGCCAGCCCTGCTGCAGGGAGGACACGCATCACTGTCACACCTCTTTGTGCCTGTGTACAAACCTACACCCACCCAAAAGCTGGCAGGGGAACAGGAGGGCAGGGGGGAGCTTGTCACACCCACATGGTCCATGTGGCTCCAAAGCACTGCCCCAGGTCACAACTGACCCAACAGGCCCAAAGGTGGGTAAAAAAAAAATTCTGCTGGCATCCAGAGACTCTGCTTGGGTGAGGAAGCTCACTCAGGACCCAGGGAATGGGCAGAGGCCTGTGATGGGGGGTTTGCCATCCTGGGGGCTGAGCAGAGCTATAGAGTTTCAGATCTCCCTGTTCTTTCCACGAGCTGTCACCAGGGCTGCAGCTGTCACCAAGCCTGTGCCAGTGGGAATGTGGAGCTCAGGTTACCCTGCACACCTCAGAGGAAGCACCAGCAGGCTGATGTGGCTGACACATCACAGAGACAAGCAGCAGGTACCCAGGGGTCTGGGGAAACTCTGAACACCTGAGGCTGGAATAGAGTTCCAATTAAAAATAGAGCCTGTTTCCCTATGTACTTAATTTCATATACAACAGCTTAAAAAAGGAAGTAGAAAAAAACAGAATAAATTACTCTCAAACCCAGCTGAACATGTTTGCCCTTGAACAATCAGGGTCAGTGTAAATCAGCCCTGCAAGGTCCTGGGGAGAACATGCTGGATGCCTGCAGGGAAACCAACCCAGCTCACCCCTGACCCTTCAGTCACTCAGGATGCCCTGTGGAGCCAGGGGAGCATCAAGACCCTGCATTTCTAAAGCACAGAGTAATTCCTCCCTACAAAAGGCTTGTTAGGTGAAGGGATATCCCTGAAAAACATGTATGCAGGAGGCAGGATGAATGTTTTATTTATTTGGGCAATAAAATCTTCCTCAAAAGAACACGCATTGAGCAATTCTGCCTGGCCACTCTTCAGTTAGCACTGCTAAGGGATTATGTAGCACCTGTCCAAGGGGCCTGCACTGCTTGTATTCAACAGTTCAGAGAACAGGTTTGAAAAAGACCAGAAAAGTACCAGAAATGGGGGTATGGGCAACCTCTCCATTCAAGACCACTGCTTTTCTGCAGCTTGGGTAATTACAGGACTAATACTGCAACACTTCAGTCTCATTGGAGAATTACAATCTCAAACTGGAACCAGCTACCCAGCTGATAAGGATTTTCTCCCTGTAGTTCAGCCAGTGTCTTGCTTCAGAGGTAATTCCTTGGAGCTGAGTTACTCCTTTAGGAGTTGGTTCACTGTGGTGCTCACTCTGAAGGCACGTGCAATATTCCTCATCAAAAAGTGCACTTTAGTCCTCAGTTGGAGCCAGTCCAAAAAGAAGAGTTCAGTCTACTTCTAAAGACCCAATTTTATATCACTATCTGGCATCCTGAATCAAAATCTGCTGGCTGAAATACCCTGAACTGGCATTGAGTGTGGGGTTTCAGCACTTATCCTTTTGAGGGTCCTGTTGCCTTTAAAGCAAGGTCCCTGTGAGCTTATTTAGAGCAGAGTAGCCAAACTGAAGTGAGGGAAAGTGCCCCAAAAGCAGGGCTGTGCCTGGCTGAGCTCCTTGCTGTCTTACTCTTTTTACTTACATCTGGCACTAGGTACCCAAGTCACGACCAAGAGAAGAGAGAATGATGGCTCCTTTCAGCAAGGCCATAGAAAATCACATCTCCCTTCTTCCAGCCCCCAAAGGTAGCTCACTGGAGAAATAGTTCAGCACATGCCATCACTCGCAGCTTTCTGTGATAAATTAGAGCTGCTAGTGAGAGGCACTGTGCCAGGAAAAAAAAATGAAATGTTTGTCTATTGCTTTGGTATGACAGAATTATCCACATACCAGCTGGATTTTTCATTTATCTTTGATTCTTGCAAACGCACTCACTACTTAACTGCATAAAGCACAAGTTGTAACTTCTGAAGTCCACAAATGATGGGGGTTTAAAGTTAAGAGCAAAGTGGTAAAACCAAATTGCTCATCAATCCTTGGTGTGATACAAACTGATAGTGGAGAACTGCATTTTAAACCAGCTGATCAAATATGACAGCAAAAGGCACCAGTTTATCCTCAGAAGAGTAAAAGTATTTCATCAGTGTGCAATTACATAATAGCCAGCCCTCTGGAAAGGCATGCAGAGGGAAGCATTCCCTCCTGCACAGGGCTGAGCCTCAGCACAGCAGGGCTGTGAACAGCCCAGCCTCAGGAGATGCACTCCGTACCTGAAACGGGCAGTGCAAGCACCAACACCAAAGCCAAAGGGCTTCAGCAGGGCAAGGAACTGCCCTGGAGTGAGGCAGCCTCGCCTGCTCCTGTGCCCAGCTGTAAATGCTTCTGCACTGCAGGCAGCCTGGCCCTGACACGACTCTGAAAATCTTAGTGAAGGTTTGCTTTACCATTTCCTTACTCAGCCACCGGTTTTCAGTCTCATCCTTTAAAGCAAATTAAGAACAGTTATCTATAGGATCCATACCAGAATTTAGTTTTCTTTCATTACTGGATCTTTTAGAAATTTGGAATTTTGTTAGATGGGCTTTGAGCAGTGCTAAATTCCTCCTCCCCTATGATTTCACACACCCTTTTCTCCCAGGGAAAGGCAGTAACCAGACCCATCCTTACCTTACACTTGCTCAGGACTGTTCAGCAGCAGAGTGATGCTGAAAATCTGAGCTCTGCTGTTCCACTAGGACAGCAATTCCTCCTTGGGCTGCTCAGTAACACACAGCAACTGAGCAACTGGCAGGAGAAGGAGGTAATACAGATACCTGGATGCAACTTCATAGTTTCTTCTCATATCTCACACTTCAGAATTAAACACTGCACTTACACAACAGCCACGGCACTAGTGAATGTCTGCCAGCCTCATTCCAGACAAGGTACAAGAACTGCTCCATCTTCCACACAGCAACAGAAAAGCTAATTAGCATTCTCACTTGAGATTTTGCAACAGTGAGCTGTTCTAGCAAATAAGCCAGATGAAAAACATCACCAAACTTTTCATGCTTCACAATCAAGCTGATAACCACCATTAGATACCATATCATCTCAGCAAACCAGCTGCTGATGCTTTCAAATGTGAACAAATTAAGAAAAAGAAACAAAAGAGCATTGGCTGCAGCCTCTCTTCCATACATCTTATCATCCCATTCCAGGTTAACTAAAACCCATTCAAAGACAGGAGTAAACTAATTAAGGCCCCAGAGTGATTATTTCATCTTCCCCTGCATTTAAAGAGCACCTACAGGACCAAACTCTAATTTAAGGTTCTTGCTGTGGCAACATTAGCCATCTCAAAATGTTTTTATCTTCCCCGTGACTTCACAATTTTTCAAGGCACCTTCTTATGCTTTTAGGCTGTAACACTTTCTCCTTCCTCCCTTTCCCACCTAAATTAATTTTTAAGCTTCCCCCTTGGCAGTCTCAACTCTGGAGACACAATGTGAGAGCACAAGCCACAGAAGGCTCCTGACCCTACAGATTCCCTCAAGTATTACCCCAGATAAAGCATCACCCCAGATAAAGCACTACCCTTGCCACCAGTGAGTCTTCTCCTTCCCACCCCAGCACAGCAGTTCTGGAAAGTCCCAGCCAGAGGCAATTGCAGCACAGAGCACAGACAGACAGCTCTGCACTCTGCACCAGAGAAAGGAACTGAGCTGCAGGACACACGGACAAGCCTTCAACCACAGCAGACACATCCCAGGTATGTCAGCAGCTCCCTTTCCGCATTCTGACCCGCTGAAGCTGAAGGTCACATTCCAACCCACAAATAAAACTCGTTCTGTGAGAAGGAAAACTGCTAAAAAATCCCCAGGAGTTGAACACTCTTTACAGGGCTATGCAAGAACAACTTTCACACCATAATCTGAAGTTTCATTCAATTCAATTCACATGTAGACATTAGTACAAAAAAAAAAAAAGAAGAAACAAGACACCAGATAAAAAAGGCTTAAAATCCACTTTAATAATGCATTCCTGTAACATTCCTCAGACAAACTCAAACTTTTTAGTGGGACAATTACAGTTTGTGTTCAAACAGTTTACACTAAATGAAAAATCTTGTAGTACTTCTACACAAAAGACAGGCAAGGTTAGGATTATACAAACATTTGTTTCAGTTAAATCTTCAGCATGAGATACAGTATCTTTATCCAATAGATTGTACTTTACTACCAGTAAAAATAAAGAGATACAACACGTTATCAAAAAAATCCATCCAAACAAGAACCTGCCAGCCCTTCAGGCTGCACGACTGTCAACTACTTCAACGAAACAAATGGTCCAGGTAAAAAGAGTAACTAACAAGTTAGGAGGGGGGGGAAAAAAAAAGAAAAGAAACAAACAAAACCTCCTCCAATTCACTACATGACGGATCATTTGGAGCTATATAAATTTACAAAATCATGGGAGCTGCAAAGTACCCAAATGCTGCCCTAGTTCTCCAGAGACCCCCCCGTGCTCTTAAGCAAGGTACACTACACTAAAAAAATGCCAAGACATACTGAAATTTTATCCAATTTAGCCTCATGATTTCAGCTGCAAACAGGAAACCTGAAATGGTCATGGCATTAGGGTCCTTGTAAGATTTTACTGTTACTGAACCAGGGCAGCCTCCCAGAATTTATTTTTCACTTTGAAATTAGGAATGCACCACATGAAATTTTCCAAAACCTTTACCAGTCAGACTGCACTCCCCTTGTCCTAGAGTGGCTTTACCAAAACAGGCCCTAATTACCAATCTTTAAAACGTCCCCCCTCCCCCCCAGGTCGAGCCCTGTGTGTGGCCTGCCGAGATTTCCTCCTTCGGGGCGTGTCCAGGGGATGGCTGAACCCTGCTCAGTATCTGCGGCGCTTGTTGGGGCCGAAATCCCCGCCCGGGTTTCCGCGGTTGAAGGCGGGCGGGTTCCCTCCCATGGCTCCCAGGCCCTCCATGGCTCCCCCCTGGCCAAAGCGGTCTGGAGGCGGTGGCGGGGTCTGGGAACGAGCACCAGTGCAGGAGATGCAGGAAGAAAAAAAAGGAAGAACAAAGGGCAGTTAAAAGCAGTTTGAGTTGATAGCAATTCCACCAATATTCCACAATTCCAGCTGACCTCACTGCAAACATTCACCCCAGCAAAAACATCCCCACAGTCCCAAACCTGCACCACTGTAGAACAAAGCTCCTTTCCCCACACAACCTGCAGTCAGGAATAGAGAGTCCTGCTGTGCAGCAGGTGAGCCATCTGAACTCACCTTCCCTTTCCACTCCTGGCTTCACCTTCCCCCTTAATTTCCCTGTGTAGTGCACATTCCCTTAGCCTCAGCTGCTTTGCTGTCCCTACCACTTAGGTGGTTTTTAGACAAATAAAACTGTTCTTTATGGAAAAAAAAAAAATCTGTGTCATAGTCACAACAAAGCAAGCAGTCTGAGTAGGAATATTTGCAGAAAAAACATTCATTGGACCAGTTCACACAAAATCACTGAAGGAAGATGAACTTTTAGGACAAACTTTACTATGATTGCTGCTGTTTCTGCTGGTGACTGGAAGTGCTGACATGTAGGAGGGCCAATCCTCTGTGTGACAGAGATGGATAACAAATGCCACGAAAGTCAGGGTCTATTGCAAAACCCTGCGGTAAAGTCTAAAACTAAACCTAATACAAAAAATTTTAAAAAGTCAAACAGATAAGCATGAACACCACTGATTCTTTGCTTTTGACCTCCTAAGCAAATTGGCTGAACTCATTCTGGCATATGAGAACAGGAGATAACCCTTTTCTGGTTATGGAACTGGTGATGAACAGAACACTCCTGAAAGCTTGGCTTTATGCCTACAAGAATCTACTCTCAAAAACCTCTCAATTTCACAGAGTGCTTCCCACTAGGTCATTTAAAAACAACCATATATTACTCCTAAGAGCTTTCTAACAAGCATTTCAGCACTAGCTCTCTTGGAAGTAAATGAAGCCATTATTACACTTGGCTCAATCTCCTGAAAATTATCAGCTAGTACCAAGGCAAGATTAACTTAGCAGGAGTGAAGCAACAGGTCTGAGTAGATAAATAAGCCTCAACTTCAGCAGCTAATGCTTAATACTGGAAACAATATAATCTGCATTTTAGAGGTGTGCACAAAAAGCAGATGGAGATACACTACCATTCCCATGGCTCCATCAGGGATCATAGCTCCAGGACCAGCAGCAGGAGGTGCAGGAGCTGGGACATTGGTACCACCCATAGCTCCTCTATTGTTCATGCCAATGGTACCTGGAAAAGAAAACTGAGGAATAGTCCTGGCACACACACACAGTGACTGGGGTCTGCTCATCACCCCAGAGCCACAAATCATTGCTCCATGCAGGGACAGAGGCCAGACTATCAGGTCACAATCACTTGATCTTGCTTTACAGCACGTTGTGTTTCCTGTCACATGAATACTTCCTCTTACTAGCCTGGGAGATTATTTTGAGTTTCTAAATAAGAAGCCAATAAAATGAGATCACTAAAAAAAGGGGTAGATTTTGTAAGGAAATGAACATGCACAGGAACAAAGAAAACTCTTACCTCCCATACCCATCTGTCCCATTCGCATGTCTGGTGGCTCCCTCTGGAAAGACAGACACTCATCTCAACTGATAATCAGGCTTTTAAAAATGTAATTATACAAATTCAAAGAGTTCTGAGGATTTACTACTGAATAATGTATAGAAAAGTAATTCCCAGGGTAAATGTTAAAGAAAGGCAGGAGCAACCTTCATGTGATAGCTGCTGAATCAATAGGTTTTAGTTTAAATATCTCATTATAAAAGGTAGTTTTTCAAAATTATAATAAAACATCCAGCAGCAAAGCTGCACATGCAGACTTTAACAAAGACATCTTGATGGAAAGATTTGCTGAGCAGTAGTAACACATTAGACAGAATTAGTTTTGCTACTCCCTCAGCACAGCTAAGAAGCTTTTCCTGTTGAAAGGAATGCAAGCTTACATAAAGACACAGTACTGGGTCACTTGCATTAAAATACCATTTAGTGAGCTCAATTTCTCTTTTATTAACCAAGCATCAGAAACACCTATCACAGATTTTTCTCACTGCAAAATCAGGAGCACTTCAGTGAGAGCACTACTTTTTTAATAGTGATAAGTGAAGACAACTTTCATCTGCAGTCTCAGTGCTATTATCCATCATATGAAGGCAGTATTATTTGTAGGAATCAGGATATCTGCTGCACAAAGAGAATATTCCAGCTTTTGGCTCAGCCATGCTCTTGGCCCTTTGGTTTGACACACATTTACCTATTTTGCCATGGCCAAGTTTCACTAGTAAGCATTGAACACTTACCCCCAGCTGCATCAATGCCATTACACCACCTGAACAGCCCTACAGCTGCCTCCACAACAGAAACTGCCTGGGACTGGAAACAAACTGTAAGGCATTTCTCTGTAGAACTAGAGATACTGTTATTAAAAGGCAGGTTACCACCAGGTTGCACTACAAAAAAATACTTGACCAACTGACTTTTAAGTACAAGCATATACCATGCCTGCAGCAATGCCTTCAGTTGGGATCATTTTATCATGACTAAAACAGACTGCAAGCCAGGGATATTGCCAGTCATATAATCATAACAGCCTTCTGCTGCAGTGCTTCAGGACAGTATGTGTTGCTGTTAGAATAGAATTAGTCAGCACACATTTTTCTGAACAGTAAGACAGCTACAAAGGGCCCTACGTGAAGAGCAGTGGAACAGAACTGGGAGATTTACAGTTTCCAGGCTAAACTGTATAAAGATTGGAGGGAGTCAATAATGTAGGGTAGACTGCACTACTGATGTACAGTCCTCCAACCAAGCTGAAAATCCACAGAAAGCTGTGCTGTGGAAGGGAAAAATCTACAGTGAGTGTGGAGATGTAATGGAAATGTAGAAGCACTCGTACCGCATCAGCAAAATTCCCTTTGAAGCCTTCCTGCTGGCGCCTCATCATCTCCTCCTGCTGCCTTCTCATCTCCTCCTCACGGCGCCTGCGCTCCTCCTCCTGCCTGCAAACGAAGTCCAAGATGCTCAGCACAACAAACACCAACCACCTGCATCACTGGGCTGCAGTGCTGCCTCATGGATCTTCATCGGAAACTTTACACTTCAAACTTTCAGTTTTGAGAGCTCATTTGAAAAAAAAAAAACCCACTTGTGTGTGTGCATCGCATGAGGAGCAGCTGAAGGAGCTGGAGGGGCTCAGCCTGGAGAAAAGGAGGCTCAAGGGGGACACCACCACCCTCTACAACTGCCTGACAGGAGGGTGGAGCCAGGTGGGAGTCAGCCTCTTCTCCCAGGTAACAAGTGACAGGACAAGAGGAAACTGCTTTAAGTCACACCAGGGAAAATTGAGATTTGACATCAGGCTGCCCAGAAAGTGGTGGAGTCACCATTCCTAAAATGATTTAAAGGATGTGTAGATGTGGTGCTTAGGGACTGATGGTGGGCTTGGCACTGATAGATTTACAGCCAAACCCATGATTTTAGAAGTATTTTCCAACCCTACGTACACAGCAGCTGCCAAATGCATGCAGCCTACATGCAGTATCATGCATCAAGCCTGACGGCTCTCAATCCCCTTCTATTACAAATAGTCTGGTAATCTTCCTGGAGTTTCTCAAAACAACCCCAAGACAAGGAAGTGCTACAATGGAGAGAGAAATCTCTGAGACCAAGTTACCTTCAAATGAAAACAAAGATGCTGGAATGGGATTTCCCAATCTACAGCACTGAAGCCACTAAATCACAGCAGAGATTCTGATTTTTCTATCTGCCTCATTTAAAGGAGCTTAACTGAGACACAGAAATGTGAAGAAGCACCTACTGATCAATGGAAGAAACTCCTAATGCTTCCATCTTAAACCAAATGTACATTCTTCCCTATGAACAAAAAAAGCCCAAAGTACAGGCACACTTGAGGTAGCAATTAAATTGTCACAATGAACAATCAGGTGCAGTGAAGAGGTGTTTTATTCTGCTCTGGATTCACAGCATTTCACAACCTGCCCCCTTACCTGAGCTCCAACTGTTTACGTTTTTGTACTTCTTGGTTATGCAATTCCTCCATTCTCCTCAACTCCTCCTGGCGCCTCATTAAATCTGTGTAAGACAACAGTAAAAAACACAATCAGACTCATCTCCCATGCCACCTCTCATGAATTCCTGAAGTAGAACTGTAACATAGAAGGCTTTACCAATACAGTAGCATTTCCCCATGTTAGGTCTAACAAGATTCAGTGCCAGGCCCTGCCCTGGGTCACACCAAGCCCTGCAGCTCCAGGCTGGGCAGAGGGACTGGAAAGGGCCTGGTGGGAAAGGCCCTGGGGGTGCTGCTCACCAGCAGCTCAACAGGAGCCAGGTGTGCCCAGGTGGGCAAGAGGCCAAGGGCACCTGGCCTGTCCCAGCCATGGTGGGGCAGCAGGACCGGGACAGTGACTGTCCCCTGCCTGGGCACTGCTGAGGCCACTCCTCAAATCCTGGGTCCAGCTCTGGGCTCCTCCCAACAAAACAGACACTGAGGGGCTGGAGCGTGTCCAGAGAAGGGAACGGAGTGGGGAAGGGTCTGGAACACAATTCTGATGGGGAGCAGCTGAGAGAGCTGGGAAAGGGGCTCAGCCTGGAGAAAAGACTTGAGGAGACTTTACTGCTCTACAAGTACCTGAAAGGAGGTTAATGGTTGGGCTTGCTGATCTTTTCCACCTAAATGATGCTACGAATTCCATTTATTTGCTGCTACCATGCTTCGTTGCACCACAGCTCCCCTTGAGTGGTCCCTAGCCAGTCTATTGAGCCACCCACTCCAGGACAGCACAGGGCCCTGCTCCCACCCTGGATTTACCCATCTGGCTGGTACCTTGTCGCATGAGCATCACTTGGTGCTCGTGGCGAGCTGCTTCCATCTCCATCTCCAGCTTCTCTCGAGCTTCCTTGATGTTGCGATCTACTTGTTCCTGCTGCTGCTTCTCCATCTCTATCAAAGCCTTCCAACGCATGGCATATTCATACTCAAAGCTGCCAGGCTGTGCAAACCGAGGAGGCTGCTCACGCTCCCTGGCACACAATGAACAGCTAGTGAATGCTTCAGGAGAGCAAGGAGGAACCAAGAAAGCTCCATTTGTGTGTCAAATGCAATAGCAGACCCCAGTTAACTGTGCCTAAGACACCAGTTTGTTTGTTCCTCAGGCATCATCTTATTCCTGCATGGAAGCTGTCCTCCTCCATAACAAGCAATGGCACTGCTTTCATAAGAGATTCTGGGTGAAGAGATTTAGAAATCCCCTTGAAAGCAACAGCCTTTGCTCCTGCTGCACATCTTATGGACAGATGCACTCCAGAAACAAACACTGCCCAAGTGTGCATGTTATTTTCACTCTGCACCTGTAGAACAGGACTACTCCTAATTCCACCTCCTGAAGCTCTCATCTTCCTTACTTGAAAAATTCATGAGCTCACATGGTTTGCCAATGCCAACTGCTCAGATCACAGGATTCCCACTTATACTGACTGGGGAGCCCTCTAAGACTCTGGTCTTATACCTGGATAGCTCTACAATCTCCTAATGCCACTCATATAATTCCCCAAGTTTCTATTGTGGATTCAAGTGTTTCCTAAAAGGCTTTCTGTAATACTTCCCAGGGAATCTCATGTCATCTGTGTTATATCAAATTGACCTAATTTTTTATTCCAACAACTGAAATGGACTTATAGAAAATATGTGAAGGCTGCCAGTCTTATCCAGCAGTGTGGATTCAAAAATCACTATTTTCTTTCAGTGAATCATGGCAAGAGAAGAGTGAATGCAATTCTTCTTAAGTCAGGTCACACTTAAGGAAAAAGAAGGAGGACCTGATGAGCACTGATGAGCCACCCCTCTAAGACACACTAGCCCACAGGCACTCTCCTCTCCTGCTGCATGCCAGGCACATACTTGTGATACTGCTGGTTTTTGATGACTAGTTTCTCTGGTAGACCCTCCTCATCATCATACTGATCCATGGGCTCCACAGTGACAGGGCGAGGGAATCTGTAAAGAAAAAGTGAGGTGCTTTGAGAAAAAATCAAGAACAAGCTTGCAGAAGTGGAAAGCACAACTTATATTGCTTTTAGCACTGCTCTCAGAAACTCAGAGCAGCTGGGGATCTCAACCAAAGTGAAACCAGGAATCACTTTGAACTCTTTTTTTTAAGAATAGGAGTGTAACTGTCAATCAAAATCCTTGTTTAATCCAAATCAAAATTGTACTGGAAGAATAATATTTGTAGTTACTTGCTTCAAATTAACAGCTTAACTGGAATCCTGACACACTCCAGTAAGATCTACTCAGCATGAAGTCTTGTCTCTAGGGTGGCACAAGCCATCTGTGCCTTTTTATGGCTATCTAAAGCAAAGAGTCACCACACACTCCTCACTGGAGGCTGCAGGCTGCACCATCCAGTCATCCTGTGCTGGTGAGGCCACCATGTGCTACTGTTGCTTGGCAACAGTGCTCTAGGAAGGTCCACTGGGCCCTCGTCTGAATTTCTGCCCCCCAGGGAATCCACTGGTGCACTTCAGAGCAGACACTGCAGATGTGTGTTCCTCTCTCCCTGGCTTCTGCATGCAGAACAAAGTATTGACCTGGCCTCTGAATCAGCTCTCCAGCACAGCACTGACACTGCTCATCCTCAGCAAAAGCAGCACCCCAGCTCCCCATGAGCTCCCAGTCCCATGTGCCAGGGCTGGGGAAATGAAGACAGATGATCCTGTTGTGCCAAGTTGGCCATGGGCACCCAGGCTCCAGCAGGAAGGCAGGATATGGAGGGCTAAAATCCATTTCCTCAGTTTAAGATCCATAATACAGCTTTGCACTTTGTGACATATTCCATTATTAATAATCTTATTTTCTAACATGAACAGATTTCAAACAGTTTATCTAGCTTTCCTGTCTTGAACTAGGACAAACCAGAACAAGTTTAATCAAAACCAAACCATAACTAGAAAAGAACAACAGAATTATTTGTAGTCTTAGATACCAAAACCCAATGTACTGATAGCTATAAAGAGACTGAATGTTAACCTTAGCTATGCATTGATAGTGATTAGTTTTAAAAATCACTTTTAAACATCTGTTTTCATTGTTCTTTCAGGTATAGACTTCTGAACCAGCAAAAGCTCCCTAACAATAATCCTCCTGGTAGAGCACTGCTCACTATGCTGGTTATGCTCAAGAAGCATCAGGGAGAAAAACAGGTATTAAAAAAGAAATAAACAAAACCTGCTTTTTGAAACTGAATGTGCTTGTGTATAGCTGTGCCACTGCAGAGCCACAGGAGGTGAGAAGCACAAAACTTTAAAAATTACTTTAAAAATGAGCAATACAGCTCCATTTCAGGAAGTGTTCTTGTCACAAATTCTAGGAGCATAATACAAAAGAGAGTAATTTTTTTCTAAGAGATAAGAAATGGCTCCCTCTTAACAGAGCAACAAGCTGTTTTGTGGAATGCAACTGGAATTGGTCATTTGCTTGAGCAAGTTCATATAATTATGAGAACATGATTTTCTGCCTTATTACATTCAAGCACAGGGAAAACAGTTTATAATGGTGAAAACTCCATTACAACACAATCCAATCTATGTGAGCAGCCTCTCCAACAGATCCCATGCCCACAGTGGCATTCCACCCTGTGGAGAAGACTCTCCCTTTTAGTGACCCAGAGTGTACAATTAAAACACTTGCACTTTGTTTCCAAACAAGTTATATGGATGGTCTCTGAAACAGGTCCTGCTCTTAAAGGCTGCTTTAACTGCCCTAAGGTTGTTTTATGGAGAAAAACTTTATTGGGAAGTTTTATGCACTTACCCCACTAGCAGCTTCCCAGAAGAAAACTTTCAGACCTGAGCTTCAGCACAGACTGTCTCTTGTTGGAACAAAGCTAAATAAAATTCTCCCCAGGCCAATCCCCCACCTGTCCCACTGAGGTGTCAGAACCAGCATTCACCAGCCCATGCAGAGCACCTGTCCCAGGCACACTTACGTAGTCAGCAGGAAAGACCCATCACTACATCTATCCAGCGCCTTCCTAGCAGCAGGCTTCCCTGAGAACTCCACAATGCCTTTCCCAGAGGATCGTCCTCTGTCATCCACAATAACCACAGCCCTTTCCACCTGGCCAAACACTGAGAAGGCTTCCTCCAGGAGCTCGTTGGACACAAACTGAGGCAGGTTCCTGACTGTCAGCGAGGCGCTGTGGCAGGCGAAGCGCACACGGAGCTGCTTCCCACGCAGAGGCATGTTGTCCAGTTCCACCTTGGCAATCTCTGCCAGGGTGCGAGTTTCCTGCAGACAGAACAGCTGCATTAAAGCTCCCAGAAAGGCACAGGACTAAACACAAGCTTATTTCTCCATAGCAAGTACTTCTGAGAGAAATAAATGATCCTCGTGCCAAAAAGCACAGCTATTCCTTATCATGAATGACTGAACAGCCAGAGTTTGGGGGTGGGGAGGGTGAGAAATATATAACAAATATCTAAGTTTAGTCCAACAGCTAGTATGAACTAAGCAAACAATGACATTTTCATAATGACACAATTATATTAAGGCTACAAAGCACCTTTTTTAAAAAAACAAATACCTTTAAAAAAAACAACCAAGATTAATCTATTAACCAAGTCTGATAAGGAAATGCTGACAGTATGACAATCTGTGAAAGACCTTCTATGCCACTTTCACACCATTCATGCCACTTTCCCACCTTTCCACTCACTTAAGTAACTCCCAAGCAGCTGCACTACACAAAAGTGGCCCAGATATGGCTGTGGAAACCTCATCCACTCACCTCAGGGCTTTCACAAAAGTGGTGCATGAGCCACAGAAATCTAAGAACCACTCTATGGTGGTAGCTACTTCCCTTTCAGAAACACTTCAATGTGATCATCTAGATCCCCTAGCCCAAGAGCATTAATCATGCCAGAAATGCTGCATGACAAACTATGCCCATAGGAATTCTATATTCCAGAAATAGAAAAGTTCACTTTGGCTATAATAGCATCACATTCATGTGAGTTTTTTTCTGCTTTCTACCAGCTGATTTCAGAATAAATTTATCAGATCTCTCATAACTCCTGCCACAAGCTGCCTAAATTCACATCTCTCTTAAGAACAAGCTCTAGACCAACCACTTGGAAGCTAATCCCATATTCCAGGTTACTGAGATCATCAGCAGGTGTAATCAGCAAGACATCAGAACATCCACAACTTTCAATTAGCAACAGTGCTCCATTGTGAGCCATCACCACAAAACTCCCCAAAGTGCCAAGTCACTCACCAGCCTGATAAAACCAAAGCCTTTGTCCTTGTGTATGAAGACTTCCCCTGCCTTGCCATACTTCTCAAACAACTTTCTCATCTCTTCCTCTGTAATATCAGGGGGCAGATTCCCCACAAAGAGGCGGCTCCTTTGGGTGAAGGTCTTTTCACCGGGTTTCCGGAAATTCTTCAGGTCAATGGTCAGGCCTTCATCTGAGGGGAATAAGGTACACAGCTGCTCTACAGTTGGGGGGATAAATTTTATTAGGTTTCATCACAGTGACCACAGAGACACAGGATAATACAGATAACACACCCCTTCATTTTGGTCTTAAACCTCTCCAGCCATCTCTCCAGCAAAAAGGGAGTTTGATGTTTTATTTCAGACTGGTCCCATAGCTTTTTTAAAGAAAACAACCTCAGTGCTCATTAACACCAGTGAATTGGAGGAAACAACACACTGCAGCTTGAAATAACATCAAATATTTCAATCAAACTTTTTGAGATCTGGTCAAGGTAACTGGCCCACAAAAAAAAACAACTGCAGTCACAACACAGGATTTTGCTATTACAACACAAATAATTACAGAAAAGCCACAGTTTAGCCAGAAAACAGAGTTTTACTCAAAAACACACAAAACCAACTCCAGATATCTAGAAAAATATGAAAATAAGAGGAAATTTTGTTCAGACAGTTAACATTTAAGATAGCTGTCATTCTGTGAGACGGGTTCCAGAGTATGGGTTTCCAAGCTGAAGAGAGGGCTGGAATAGTTAAAATAGTGGGGAAAAATACCAACCCAAAATTTAAAATAACACTCTGCCATATAGATGAGCCCTCAAAAAAATCACAAGATTAATTACAGGGAAAAAAATCCCTATTCAGTAAGTTCTGCTAGAAGGGATTTTTAAAGTTGGAAAAGACCTCTGAGATCAAGTCCAAGGTTAAAATATTTTCTGAGCTGTCCAACAGAAATAAACACAAACAGTAACATTCTCAAATCCCCACAGGCATATACAATCTTTAACCCTTAATTCAGCAAGAGTCCAGCATGAGCCTGAGAGCTCTGTTATGTGCCAGAAACAGGGGTGGATTTAGCATCACTTTATCACCCTGTGCCCCATTTTCTTAAACACACATGGAACTTAACCACACAGGACTACAGGGCACAGAAAGCAACTCCTTTGCTTTGCAGAGGAGGACACAAGTCATGGTCACACATGTGAAATAAACTGTGAACATCAATGGCTTGACTGCAGTTACAAAACAGGGCAATAAATGAGAAAGACTGTCCATGAAAAGACAATGCAAGGACAACTCTCTGATAGGAGTAAGCACACCTCCATGGCCAACACTAAATAACCAGACAGAGTGTGCCCAGAGAAGAGCAGTGAGAGTAAGTTATCTACTTCACAAAGGTGCAGGAGTGAAACGTTCTGCCTTGTTCACAGCATGAGTATTTGGGGATGGATTTGAAGGGCTGTGGATACAACACGAGGTACTTGCACAGAGTTACACTCAGGGGTACACAGAGTACCTCTGTTCTGCCTCAGGAGATCCATGCAAAGGAATGAGACACACTCATTCACTCGCAGCTGATTCCTGTGGGAATTCCCCAGTACAGCTGTACTGTTATTGTTTTCAACCTGACTGGAACCGGCTGCTCTGCCACTCTGCTCTGTTATTGTCTGGGAACTGATAAAGAGCCTGTTCAACTCCACCACTTAACAAAAACATGCCGGATTTTTACCAGCCTGGTATCCTTGACACAAAAAAAACCTCCACTATGAGGAATCACACAAAGCACACAGGTGAGTTCTACACACTTTTGTTTGTGAACATCCAAGCTTAAAAAAAACCCCAACAAATCCACATCAAATAAAACTAAAGCACTCTTTCCCTCCCCAAAAATGCTAACGGAGATGTCTCGCCACTTCTAAACCACCAGGTTAGATCGGTTCAGGCCCCTGAAGCCATTAACGCGTTCTGTCCCCGCTCCGGAGCACACTCCACACTGACCAGGAGAACCCGGACACCCGCTGGAGCAGAACGGCTTCGGCAATGTCAAATGGCATTAAATACTGAGTAAAGCTGGGCATCTCCCGGTTCCTCATTATAAACAAAGAAAAATCAGTCTGAACAGGCGCCTGCAGATCGCTGCAACAACGTTTTCACTACAGCATAATCTTCACCGATTCTTACTTCTGTACAATCTAGTAATTGCTCTAGCAACCAAGTTTCTGAAGTTTCTAGCTTCCTAAGAAAACCTGTATTGAGAAGCCATCTGTTATGCCCGGGGAAAAAACAGGAACCAGACAATGAAAGACAGAGCTCGTTATATTCGCGACGCTTAAAGAATATAACAGTGTCAAGAACGCACTGACTTTCAAACTGTAAGCGATCTTTCCCTGGGATTTTCGGACAAAGAACCTCTATATCGCCTGCTCTGGTTTTGGGAGCGCAAGAAACTCACGAACACAAAAACTTCCGAACAAACGCCACAGGACTCGCGCGTACCCACGAGCGGACTTAAGAAAACCAAAAGAAAACGCACAAATACAACCCAGGCGCAATTAAAACCGCAGCCTCCAACAAGGGGAAAAAACTGATTTAGCAGGAGATGCTGCAGCCTGCTTGGGAACCTAAGGATTTATTGTTTAAACTTGGAAAACCGGGTTCCTTTTGTTCCTGCCGAGACCTGTTGCACGCCCGAGGGCCGCAGCTAACCCGAGGTTTCCCGCTGCACCGAA